CCGTTAATTCAACTACTTCAGTAACTTTATGATTAGCCTTGTATAAACCAATCACCTGTGCAATATCCTCACGCTTAGTAACTCTCCTGGACATCTTAAAGACCCAGATATCACACGATAAAAGCACTGTAACTCAGGCGTAAAATCACGGCACGGGCGCCACATGGGCACACACCCACCCACGCAACCCAAACAAAGACTGAGCGGTGTTCCTACTAAGGACAGCTGTCGCCAAGGGTTCCAGAAGATGCTAGAATTGTGACTAAATATTTCTGATCAAAATTTATCCCTATCTTGAGGTAAAACGATGTATGCAAAAGTGAAGTCACAGCCCAATTTGTGCCTTAACCTTCCGCCAGAGACTGTAATGTATGTATGTATGTATGTATGTATATATATATATATATATATATATATATATATATATATATATATATATATATATATATATATATATATATATATATATATATATATATATATATATTAGCTTACAATATACCGTACTAATAATACATTAGCATCTTATAGTACAGTATACCATCAAAATATATTAACAGTTTACAGTATGCAAAAGAATATCTTCACAAGTATGAGTGAAGATTACACCTGGTACATATTTTATTTAAGAACCTTCTGCACTCACAGCCAGTACAACAACTCACCTCAACGATACTGTAATAATAGAAATAATAACTATACTATTAATAATACTGCATAATAATTACATGAATAATAATGATCATAACTTCTCTGGCTGTAGTTACCTGATGGCAGCTCTCCAAGCATCACAGCCTCTCTCACCTAGTTCTTGTCTTTGAGCTCATTCATTATAACCTCTCCCTTTGTCATTCCTGGTCTACCTCTCATCTTCTCGACATTTAAACCAATTCGTCTCTGTTGTTCTCTCCACATGCCTAAGCCATTTCAGCCTGCCTCTACACAAACCCTCGCCAATACTCTCAATATCCAGCCACCCTCTTACTCTGAAATGGGTTTCCCCTCTGTGTCACATTACACATCCATCGAACCATCTCATTTCAGCTCACATGTGCCGAGTGTATCTCTGCCAAATAAATTAAGACAAACTATACTGTACTGCACTTTCTGTGGAAGAGCTTTAAGGAAATTACTCACATAACTCTAAATTATAAATGGTATTCTGAATATGAACAAAATAATTAAAACCAATGAGCAGTACAAAAACCATTCCAAAAATATTAGTACAGTATCCAAGGCATACCCAACAGCATAAAAACCTTAAATTTCATCTTACAATTATCATAATGAACTCTTCTACAGCTAGAGTTAGGTTGGGTAGTATCTGGCACATGGTTATAACAGCACCTTTCAAAATTCCTTATTCCATGACTCACAGAGACAACGTTAAGGAAGCTACACCATAGAAAGTTGTTGTTCTTGTGAAGCAGAGCTTCTTTTACAAACTTTCACTCATCCTAAACAGCACAGTACAGTACATGTAGACAACAAATATATAGAGTACAAATAAATGGTCCTCTGATATCTAAGGCCGCCAACCGTAAACTCACACAAAATTAAAAGAATAAATAAAAGGGCTCTTATAGTATGTTTACACATAAGAAACCTGTAATACCATACTAACTTTTTTTTTCATAAAATAATATTACACCAGTCTATTAATTCCACCCCCATTCAATATATTACCCAGTTTAACAGTTGTGCGAGGCACAATACCAAATCATCATACATGCCAAAAGCAAAAAATAACTCCACCTCATCCCCTTACTTTCTCTCTAAGTATCACAAAACTCCACCACACTGTCACTATCAGTGACTTTTTCCTCAAATTATAGCACTTATGCGCTCTTCATTCAAAGCTGCATTCCTGAATTCTTTTTTGGGGGGAACAGAGTCAGGGTCACGAGACGTGCATGGATATGCATTCCCCTTCATGTCTTGAGGGTAACTAGGTACTCTGTACAGTATGTGTCCTTCCCACTCACCTCACACCTAATGGTGCAGGAGAGTACCATACATCACCCGCAAATTTCAAATGTGTCACTAAAAGTTCATTTTCACAGGTCAACAGCTGTGTTTAGGTTGTTCTTATATGAGGACAACAGCTGTACCGAGGTTGTTCTTATATGAGGACAACAGCTGTACCGAGGTTGTTCTCGTATGAGGACAACTGGTGTACCGAGGTTGTTCTTGTATGAAGACAACAGCTGTGTTTAGGTTGTTCTTATATGAGGACAACAGCTGTGTTTAGGTGGTTCTTATATGAGGACAACAGCTGTGTTTAGGTTGTTCTTAGATGAGGACAACAGCTGTGTTTAGGTTGTTCTTATATGAGGACAACAGCTGTGTTTAGGTTGATCTTGTATGAAGACAACAGCTGTACCTAGGTTGTTCTTGTATGAGGACAACAGCTGTACCGAGGTTGTTCTTGTATGAGGACAACAGCTGTACCGAGGTTGTTCTTGTATGAGGACAACAGCTGTACCGAGGTTGTTCTTGTATGAGGACAACAGCTGTACCGAGGTTGTTCTTGTATGAGGACAACAGCTGTGTTTAGGTTGTTCTTATATGAGGACAACAGCTGTACCGAGGTTGTTCTTATATGAGGACAACAGCTGTGTTTAGGTTGATCTTGTATGAAGACAACAGCTGTACCGAGGTTGTTCTTGTATGAGGACAACAGCTGTACCGAGGTTGTTCTTATATGAGGACAACAGCTGTGTTTAGGTTGATCTTGTATGAGGACAACAGCTGTGTTTAGGTTGTTCTTATATGAGGACAACAGCTGTACCGAGGTTGTTCTTATATGAGGACAACAGCTGTGTTTAGGTTGTTCTCGTATGAGGACAACAGCTGTACCGAGGTTGTTCTTGTATGAGGACAACAGCTGTGTTTAGGTTGTTCTTATATGAGGACAACAGCTGTACCGAGGTTGTTCTTATATGAGGACAACAGCTGTACCGAGGTTGTTCTTATATGAGGACAACAGCTGTACCTAGGTTGTTCTTGTATGACAACTGCTGATTTAGGTTGTTCTCGTATAAGGACAACTGCCATTTAAGGGTTAAACCAATGATTGTGCTGGACAAAATGTCCATAATGAATAAATTTCTGAATACTGAAGTCTCCTGAAACAGATATTTCAATAAAATATGTAAAGGTAAAATCAAAGAGTTAATTAATATCAACAGACCAGCAATAACTCTTCAATAACTAACTTGTTGTAACCATAGTGGATGTAAAAAACAGACGTAATAAACAATGAGAGAAATGGTAAACCATAAACTGTTTTACCCAGGGAAGACAGACTCCTAATTCTGTCTTACACTGGTTAAAACTGATGTGAATACAGTACAACAACGCACCATCACTTGGCTCGTGAAAAGGTTTGGGTGTCGAATTTTTTTTTTTTTCTTATCAAGGTCGCCACACCAGGGGCCTGTACTATATTTTGTAAAACAGAACCTTGAAAATTATCAGAACTGTAGATCAATAATCAATGTTCACGTTTGTTCAATAAGTAATACTGTACCCGGTATTACATCATAAATTTTTTCTTAAGCACTAATTCAATACATGACTTCAAATACAGTATTTAAACAATAGTTAGCTTTAAATAAATGAGTAACAATGTTCCCCTCAGAACATTACTTCAAACTTCTTGCAAAAGTGTAAGTCTATTTTTCTCACATACAGTACAAGCATAATCTTGCCATCAGAAATTTGTCAGTTATGGTCTTAATATTTAAAAGAAGAACTTTTTCTTTCGTACAGCCCCACATTTCACTTTATTTTCAGATATCAACACTGAAGGGTAGAGAAGATGAATACAGGAGCTCTGTGTTCCTGAGTGGACAGGTACATGGTGCAAGTCATCTCCACCACACACATCCTTCAGTCATTGCACATACGTATACATATTCCAGTTTCCATACATATAATTAAACAGTTGCAGAAAATCTTTTTACAAAAATAAAAGAACATTTTTACTCAATAAAAACATTAAAAATCTGTTCTACACCTGTTAAAACAAATTTATTTCAAGTTCCTGCAGTGAAGGTGTCAGTAGACCTAAACTGTAAATAAATAAATAAGTTCTTTACTTTAGGTACACATGGCCAACGAGTACGCTAATAACAGCAAATGATCTGAAATAACCTTGTACAAATATCCTGTCTGTGGTGAGTCAACCACCACAAATATCTTTAGTGGTAAGTCAACCAACACAACTTCAACACCTCACTGTAAAAACTTCAGGTATATAAAACTCATAAATTAAAGTCAAGAGAGGCAGACTGACACACAGCAGCAGCAAGATACTGTACAAGAGGTATAGTATTGATAAACATTAATGTATAAAAACATTTTAACAATTTCCCAACTTTAATTATCATCACCACCTGTCAACAGTATTCATCAAAGCATTTCTCCTCAACATCATGTCTTCCCCCAGAAACTTGTCTCAATCCTAACCACTACCGACTCAAATGTTGAACAGTATTCATTGAAACAAAACTTATAATCTCCTAAACTTGTCCTTACCAAACACATCTTCCTATACAGTACAAACCATAGTTTCTAATGGTAATATCTGGAATGGTCTTCAGTGTGTTTGTCAGTACCTCAATCAACCTTAAAAATTATTCTAAAAAAAATTAATAAAAAAATAATGTCTTTAATACAATACTTTAATAGTTTCTATGCCCTATCATCTTCTAACACTAAATCAATAAGTGTTGAACATACTCAAGTTGTAGCTGAAATTTTCACTATTACCAGAAATTCACATCCACCCCCAATAACCCAGCCTCAGTATCCCGTACTGTACAGTCAGTATCTCATTAATACCCCCATAACTATAAAAATAAACATAATAAAATACCACAGGAAAGTTTACACATAATTTAGACAAACTTTCCTACCTTACATCACCTTCATTACACACACACAGTCAAGAACTAAATTTGTTAAACCTATTATGTACATTTCTTATTTGTTACCTTTAAATGTTTCATACCACTGCAGTGAAGATCCAGCGATTTCTTTGCATTCATTTCTGCATAGCACAGCTGTAAGTCACGAGAGCAATGGTTGTTACGTATGAGAACCAGTTTGAAAACAATCATGAAAACTGCTAAACATACAGTACTTCAGAAATAACCACTAAAGAACAATGTGAAGAGTCGTCATTTAAATTGTGGTTACCATTTACTTAGGGTTTGGATAATATCCACGTACAGTATGAAGACTACTACTGTACGTGGAGCAAGTTATTACTACCACTTCACCCAAACCTATTTTATGTAGATAAATTCATCATTCATGAGTGAAGCACATGTGAGACAATCTGTATGGTGAAAAGGATGTCACCACCTGAGAACTACTATACCTTTATACCCAAATATGTACACTCTCACCAATAACTTCTCGAATTCTATAAGCACTATGCAAACTAAAAATTGGACGAAGAATCTGAAACCATTCCGAGATGACAAGCCCGATTCTGCTCATTCTCACATCCATCGTGCCCAGGTGTTTGACAAGTTTGTGTTGAGTGTGTACCTGTATTTGTTGTATATAAAAAAATAACCTCAATGGCTTCAATGCCAAACATTATAAAACATCACTCCAGTCTACAGTACAGTATTCAATCAACATCACGGATGAGTTCGACCATGAACCCTGGAGTTACCTACATGAAATATGTTTGGGTGAGATCCAGTAGCAGGTATGACACTTGCACCAAATGTGCTGAACGTAGTAAGTACAGCAGACTTTAACCAAACCCTCGATAAATATCAACCAGTTTAAATGACTGTATCTTCTCAATGTTGTTAGTGGTTAATTGTGTTGAGTATTTCTTGTTGTTTCCTAGCTACTACAGTAATAACATTTTCATGAGGTGTCTTATGCTTACTAAACATGCTGAGGTAACCTATCTTAACATTAATCATTTCATTGAGGTAACCTATCTTAACATTAATTATTTCATTGAGGTAACCTATCTTAACATTAATCATTTCATTTCTCACTTTGTAAGTATACTAAAACTCAGTTTTGTCCAGAACCTCACATGAACTTTTATTCAAGACTGGCCTTACCTCACAGAAGTAGGCCACCTTCCCTGGCTGATCTTTCAGGGGCCTAACAATGATGAAATTACCCCCATATTCTTCAGCTAGAAAAAAATTATGGAAAATGTTTCATTATACACCAGACAAAAAAGACCAGGATGGAATATATAGTTTATTTTATACAGAGGATCTTGCACAATATCACTACATTTAGAGAAACAACTCCTCACTCTATATCTCAAAACTAAAAACCACTCATCAAATTGGCTTTACAATCTTGTTTTAGCCTTGCTTAATATCAAACCTCACTACTAATCTTGTATTTCCCCCTAATGGTTTAGGTTACTGAAAATGTGTTAAGTCAGAACATTTACTCAAATAAAATTAACTCAGGCAGAACTGTGTCAGGGGTAGTGGTGTGGTATTGGGAGGTGCTTGATAATAAACAAGTTGTCTCGAGGGGTTCTCAATTTTTTTCCTTGACCCAACACCCACTCCCATGATGCAGGCCAACTCCCTCAGCCCAAGGCTACGTTAATTCTATACACTCTCTTTCCTGTCCTTCTCACAGATCCAAACCACCTAAGAAAACATAACTTCACCCATTCCATAGTTCTCCCTCAGCATCCCACACACCTCCCTATTCCTTGCCATTTTCTGGTTCAGGAAGCTATCTCATGTCTTTTACTTCAATTTTGGAGCATTCTGGTTCATCCAAGACTATATTACTGTCATATCAGATGGTAGGAAAGGTTATACTAACCGTCGGTTCACACTTTACCTCAGTGCTTCTGTTCCTTCCTTTGATGATGATATTTTTTAGTTCCCCAATCATTCTCTTTCCAAATTTTGTTCTCTTATCTTATTTCACGCTCCTTCTTACATGGCATAATTCCCTACCTGTACATTATATACATTCCCTAACTTCCTCCAGTGCATTACTACATTCTTTGTCACATATCAATTTCCTGTTTTTCTATTCTATACATTTTTGCAATTCCATTCACTCTCCACAAAAAATATAGATGTATTAACACAGTCCATATACTGTACTGTACAATGAAATAATGATTTAATGTATGGAAAGTGAATGTTTATTGCTACACCATTACAGTCTGCGCGTAATGTTAAGTCGCGATAGGGCCGACGAACTAAGTTCTCGCAAAAATAAGATCATATGTTGTGAAGCCTGTCCTGGGATGCGAGATGTCAAAACGCTTGGTTTGTAGGCAAGTGCTGACATTTGGCAACTGAGAAAACGTCACGGCTTGTAGTCAGTGCGCCTCTGGCAGCTGTGAGGGGAAGATTTTTTGTGCGGGTTCCCGCGCCATGTGGCCATGTTTTGTCTAGTTTAAGGTGCATTAACCCGACATAGTGGCCATCAGAGATGTCCAGGAGGGTTATTACAAGAGACGATATTGCAGCAGTGATTGCATTGTACAAAGCGAACCATGTACTGAGAGAAATATCGGCTCAGACTGGTGTGGCATTACAAGTTGTTCAAAATCTTGTCAAACGTTTCCGTGACCTTGGAGAGGACGAGTTACCAGCTCCATTACCTAAGTCTGGTAGGCCTAAATTATTGTCTCCAAGGACACTTAAGGTTATTTCTCGACAAGTTCGGTCCAATCCCTCACTCACAGCACGTGAAGTGAAAGAGAGAAACCCCCGACTTTTGTGTCACGTCTCGTTAATTTGTGTTCAACAAGCCCTGCACGATGACCTGGGATTTAAGAGCTTTCGTGCCCGCCGTAAACCTCTGTTGACAAAGAGACAGAAGGAAAATAGAGTGAAATTTTGCAAGAAATATGAAGCGTGGGATTTAGAGACATGGAAGAGTGTATTATGGTCGGATGAGGCTACGTTTTCTGTGACTGGGAGTAATGGAGGGAGGGTGTACCGCCCCCCCCCCCCACTCATACGCGCACCTCCCACAGTACACAGTGAAGACTGTTCAGCACCCTGCCTCGCTTATGGTTTGGGCTTCCTTTACGTATTATGGTGTTGGTGAACTAGTGATCCTCCCTAAGAACCAGATGATGAATCAGTACAACTATCTTGAACTGCTCAGTGATTTCTTACCTGAATCACCTGATAAAGCTAAGGCAAGCCTTTTCATGCAGGACGGTGCCCCATGCCACACTGCTAAAAGTGTCATACAGTGGCTCAAAGACTGTGAGGTACCTTTCTTTAATGACTGGCCTGGCAGTAGCCCAGATCTTAACCCAATAGAAAATTTTTTAAGCGTCATCTGCGCGACGCTCACACATCATCAATCCCGAAGCTAGAGGCAGCCATCAAGGATACCTGGGCTAACTTGCCACCTGACCTCTTGCAAAACCTTGCTGACAGTGTTCCTCGAAGGCTGAAAGACTGTCTGAAGTGCAGAGGAAACACTACAAAGTATTAATTGAAGTGGTAAGTGTTACTTGACTTTATTTATATAACATAATCGTAAATATCAATATTTTTTCAGCACACGAACTAACATTCCGCGCAGACTGTATACTCCTACAGTGTAAACAACCATATAAGGATAATTTGGTTATTTTGTACCCACACTACTAAAAACACTGTGCCCCTAACTTTCTTTGGGTACTGTACAAAATGTCAATACCCAGCTTTTTACCTACACTGTACTGTAATCATGTGAATGGGCTTCTCAATAATTGTGATCTGTAAATTTGACTGTTATTAACAAAACTATCCAGTATCACGAGTAAACTACAGTTCTGATAAAGACATATTCCAATAAAGTATGGCACAGTAATACATATAGTATTACCTCAATGAACACCAAAAGTATTTCACAAGACTGCATTCAGTGAGAGAAACCCATGTACATGTACTATACAGTACAGTACAAACAAATCACTACTTAACATCTAATTACAGTACAGTATATTAAAAACAGAAACACTACAGTACTCACCCAGTTTCTTGCAAAGTTCCTTAACCCAAGAATTATCAGCATCTGCATATTTCCCCATATCATAAACTCCTTCATCTTGGACTTGCTCGTATCTGACGCTGTTGTCGTTGGCACTCGTGTCCTCGTCCTGGCTGTTTCTCTCTGCTTCCCCTCTGGGTGCATCACGCTTCATTCCTGCTGAGGGTCTTTTTCCTTTATTCCCTAATACTCTACAGCATAACGTAAACTTAACATTGTGGCGCATGAATGTTATTTATCAAAACATCCCATCGATAATCAAAGAAAACCCTCAGAAGGTGGCGAAATTTTCCTTTTGAGGTTTTTCTCTAAGCCTGGCAACACATTGACTTGTAACTCGGTGGTGCTGTACGGTAATGTTCTGGTGGAAAGACCACAACATTGTTCAACTTATCAATCCATACTTTCCAGCTTTAATGTATGAAGACAAAGTGTTTTCAGACACTCTGGAAACACTTTGTGTTCATAATCACTCTTGATTTCCATGAAAGAAAATGGAGGACCGGCCCTCAAATTCCTTTTTATGACAGAGCCTGAAGCTAAGCAGCTCTTTTAATACAGGGCAAATTCTTATGAGGTCCTTGAGTCCTGAGATAGCCCCCTCCCAAAATCAGCCAAAGGAGGTTATTAAAATCCAGGAGGGCATCCCCTTCCATCACAATTACTTTAGTGGAAGAAAATAGCCAAACCAAGTAAGAGTTTACTGTACAACAGATGAGATCAACACATTGGTGGAGCAGAAATTCACTCCAGCTTCTTGCTCTGCCATTCTTAACCCTCAAATGACAGCCCTGTGGCTCTTTACATAAATTATCTGCTCCAACAGGGAGATGTGTGAATTTTGTAAAATGCATAAAATTACAAAATTTTCATATGTAAACGACAAGTTTGGTTCACTTAACACATTGGTGTAATAAATTTTCCCAGATGTCTAACAACAGCCACAAATAATGGGAGGGAAGATAATGCCCTTGTGACCAGGTGTGAGGTGAGGGATCAAGACACTGCTGCGTGGGCCAGCTTTGGATCTGTTTTTATTATTGACTTATTAAATTCTCACATCAATAATCAGACTCTAATGGTTTAAATTTCTTCATAAGTAATATAACATTTTCAATAATAGAAAAAATACAATACTATATACTGCTGTAAATCTTGTAATTTGACCTGAAATGGAAGGTGGCACCCCCTTTATCCGGGTATATTTTTTCTATTATTTTCATGTTATAATAATGGGAGACTGAGGCTGGGCTGGGCTGGGCTTTAGAGGAATGTGGATTTGATGACAACATAGTCAGTACCTGACCATACACTTCCCAAACATAAAGAACAGGTTTATGGCAAAGGCAAAATCAAACAAGAGGTTCATTCACGGTGGTACGGTACCATTGTTTGTCCACGATGGTTTTATGGTTCAAATCATCACCACTACTTCAGTCTCCTGCACCACGAACTCGTCATGCATGTGTTGGTGATGCACACCTTCCTGGTACATGGAGAAGCACTCTTCTTCTGGTCACTGAGCACATCACATACACTGCTAACTAGTTTGTCAGTGTCACTATTGATGAAGCTCAAACAAGAGCCATCAGTCTAGAATTTATTCAGCAAATCTACCAGTTCTTTGATCTCACCCACACTCTCTGATTCCCAATTTTTCAAGCTATTACTACTACAGCGAGGGTTTTTTTGCCAGACATGTCATTGGAATTGCCAGATACTTCCTCCACGACAATGACAAATACAACTGGTGAAGGGAGGGATGTGATAGGGGGGGGGAGGGAGGGGGAATAATATGAGAAAGGAAAATTTGCCACGAGTTACAATAATTCGCCCGAACACAAATGAGACGCCAATCCTAAAAATTATGACACAGAAAAATCCTGATTATATAGACAGTCTCCATATTTGGGAAGGAATGAAGTACATCATCTACTGACGGTCCTGTGGTTTAAGGGTTAAGCCAATTGAAAGCAAAACTAGGTAAACTTTCACAAAGATGCTGTTGCCAATATTTTAAATACAAGTGAAGCTCCACATGAAGAAGCATATGCAATATTAGTAACATGCACACACAAGTTCTTGACAAGTCATACTAACAGTACTGCATAAGAGCTAACTGGGAATGTTTACCAACCATTCCATTAACTACTACATTTGAGTCATTAAAACAGACAAAATAACATGTACACCATCTTCCTCATAAGAATTTTGGACACTAAACTATATTTAGAAAGATCAAATTTCCTAAAGGAAGGTTAGAAAGCTCACTACTAAACAAAATCATAATAAATTAAGTTAGTTTGAAATGATCTTGGAGCTCTTCTTTATACAAAATTAATTACCTTGACAATAAAAATATTCTTTACTCTGGTGAACACAACAAGAACCTGTTACCCACTGCTCTTCAGTGTGTAGACTCACATTCCCACTCAGAGGACTAACATTCTTACATAACAGTAACCAGTCAAAACTTCTCAACCAAAATGTGGATACTGTACTGTATATGCAAAGTTTAAAAATAATCAAGACCATTATAAGAGCCAAGATGATAAAATGTTTGGGTGTACTTAATAAAAGCCAAAAGCCAAATAGTTCACCAGATGCAAGCATCAACAAACTTCAGATAACTGTACCTTCAAATCTGCCAGAGAACCTTGGCAATAAAAAAAAAATGGAATTACTGTACCTTATCTATGAACCAGGACCAACTGAACACCATTTTCTCCAGATGGTGAACAGGTACTCCTGCCTCCCAACCTTTTTCATATAATACTATACTATAATATGATTCCTTGGTGGAGTACAGTACCTCTAATTTAGAAGAAATGGGAATTTCAAAATGCACACACTGTACTACCCCAACCGACCTGCACTCTCTTACAAATCACTTGATTGGTTATGAATGATAAATTTAAGCACATTTTATCCTCTAGGATACAACGGGAATGTAGTATGCATGGTAATCCAGTGTGGATGGCTCCCAGCTACTGTATTAACTTAACAAGTCCCACAGTATCATGCAGTAGAGTACTGTACTATACTGTACTATACTTACTGTACTGTACAGGGTGCCCAGTACAGTACTGAGCTTTGGAAGAAAATGTAACACAGAAAAGCTGATCAGTAGTAACTATCCTCTCAGGAAAATGTAGCAGAGCTGTAGCTTTGGTAATACAAGTGGTGGTTGGGTAGTCAGACAAAATAACACCTTCAGTTTCCCCCTCTCAGAGAGGGATTATGGCAACTGCACCCATCCTTCTCTTTAGAGGCTGTCAGTGAAGAGTGATTGATATATTACAATGTATTTACACTTTGATTCTGGTTGACATAAGGAAGCCTTATCTTAGGACTCACGGACCCCCCCAGTGAGTCATCCTACAGTGTATTACGAGAATTGCATGGTTGAAGGACGTCAGTCAAAATTTAATATCCACCAGGTCAAATATTGATACAGTAATATATTCTAGTGATCCCTCATTACACATCAATATTTGAAACAAACATCTGTATTAACACACATAAGATTAAACCAACATTATGGTCATGGAATGTATGCACGCAACTCACCAAAGACTGTAAAAGCTTTAGCCTTCTTATTTTTTCATATAACAACTACAGTACCCATTACAGTATGTTGCAGGTTTTCCTGTACATAACACAATCAGAAAATGGTTGAAAACTCCAATGCTGAAAAGAGGAATGTTCCGTACATGTGAGAGAAGCGTCCAAACCCAAGACGTAATATGACTTGATATGTTTAATACAAAACAGTTGTATTAAACATATGAAGTTTAAACAGTTTAGCGCACAGTTCACACGTTCTTCTCGATCACCATCATCTGCACCTTCTTCCCATTCTCATTAACTGTGCATCAGAACGATTAAGTTTTACCAAGGAGAACTTTACAGTATGGAGTCTTCTTGATCTTGTCTTCTTAAGGTCAGTCTTCTTGAAACATCTCTTCGAACTGGAATTAAAATCTGCAGAAGTAAATCACACTCTCATGCCAGTTGAAGCAGCAGTTGGTTGGAGGTCCATCTCTGTCGAGTCAACACCGGGAACATTGCTGCCGTCAATGAGGCTTGGGGCTGTATCTTCAGGCAGCGTGAGTAAACTTGATTGATTCCTTGCCTGGATTGACGCTAGTTGCTGGGTCAGCAGATGAACTTATCAGTCAAGGTCAAGACAAACAACTCTCACAAGTATAGTACAGTACTACAAAGAATGGAAAAATTAACTTTATGAATAAAATATTGCTGGATGAATAATAAAATGAAAAACTCTTTTTCCTTTTTGGATTCTATCAGAGAGCTGCTCAAGAAGTGAGAGATGGCACCAGTGGAGTTCCTGAAATTGTCATTTAGCTGAGAAGTCTAGACAGGGACTGTTTTACCAAGACTGCAAATAAATACAGTACAGTCTAATAGTAGATACTTGGTAAAGAATGCAACAATTCATTACAGTATCCAGTCAGTCCTTCAAAAGTCTATTATTTGGAATTTAGCTTTTGTGAAGGCATACAACCCTTACTGCTTCACTTGTCAGGAAAGAACTTCTAAGCACCAGCACTGAAATGTCTAAACACTTCATAATATCTGTAAGCATGAAGATAAAATAGTCAACTTATTCTCCAATCAGCTCATTGATAATTTATCCCAACAATATAAAAACCAAAATGTAATAGGGTATGGAGAGAGCTTTGTGTACACACGTTAGATATACTACTGTAAGGCATTAGACAAATGAATGAATGCAAAGATGATTTTTTCTTCTGGTCACAATCTTCACAGTCAACTAAAGAAATAAGAACTTACTTATACTGCACTACATCACACAGAGATAAGGTAAGAACTCTCTCAATTATCAACTCTTAGGGTGTGAATCTCTACTTCTTAAAAGAACGTAACAAACTGTGATTTTTACCAAACAACTTTTAAGCCCATCAGTCTCCAATAATAAGCATGATCAAGGCCATTTTGTTAATATGACTCCAGTCTTCACCAACTTACAACAACTGCTATGAACTGACAGCCCAGACAGCGACCATTAGCACCAAGACATACAATACTGTATATCTGTACCGTAAATGCCAGACTTGGTGTATAGGACAACATTTACATTTTCCTGAACTATCACATATTATGGGGAAGGATGAGCTCTTGACTGGTGATGCTGGGTTGGGTGAAGTGAATGGGTGGGTGGTAAGCCATATAAAAAAACTTGAGGACTTACTGTGTGAGGTGAATGACATAACAGGACACAGTTACAAAGAATGAATGATGGTGAAGAAGAGGGTGAGTGCTGATTTAGGTCTCTGCCACCCTACACCAAAGTGGAGAAGAGAATTCAAGAAATAAGACCCAATGCTTGTTTCTTTAAATACTTGGAGCAACACATAAATAAAATATATCACAAAGTGCCTTCCCACCTTTTGAACATGTAATCAGTGTTGTGCTGCAAAGGTCTCCTTGTTGTTTTATAATTAATCACCGATGGTTAGGATTTTCATAAAACAAACCATTAATACAGATATATTAGTATGAACACTATACACCATACAGTATTTATGAATGAGACAAGGTTGTTCTTTACTAAACTCTACAATGCAAATGTTGAAACCAGTTCAGATATCATTAATAACATTAAGGCTATAACGTGAAGTTAAACTACTCCTTCCTAAAGCTGTGCTCATACAAGTACAGTACTGGTAATAATTTCCTCTCCAACCACCTTCCTGCCTCTAAGGATGATTTACCTCTTGTACTGAGCATATTTTCATCACCTGTCATGAGGGGCAGTATGGTCATGACAAGTCCCAGACACATCACTGGACAAAAGATTTAACACTGTATCATCCAGCTGGCATGGTACACCCGATTTTAAAACTTGGATGTGTAATATGTATGAGTACGATACTCTGTGCTATATAATGAGACAACAAATCAAGAAACCTCAAAAATATGAAAATATCTAAATTCCAAAATTTGGAATATGCTCAAGATCATCTCGTTTAAAATATTAAATCTGAAACCAAAATGACTATGTACGTTTATTGTGAGTAGAGTGGAGGTACGGTATGGTAGACGTACAGTATAAATATGTAAACAGACACGGAGAAACACACAAGAGAAGGTAGACACGTTACCTTGTCCTATGTTAGCTGCAGCTTTCTCAACATAAGCTGGAGATCTCCAGTAGCCCATGGAGCCCGTGCCTTGAGGATCTGTCACAAGAACAATGGATCAGCCCACCAACTGACTTATCTCACTAACTTTTATACAGGTTGAGAATTCTCTAATCTGAAATTCTGAAACCGAAAATACCCCAAAAACCAGGAACTTTTTGAATGGACTTAACTGTGTAAGAGTATGAAGGCACACTCTGGTATTTTTGGGTATCTTGGAAAAAGGATAAAGATATTCTAATAAAATTTACATTAACAATTTAGAGTTGCAGAAAATCTGTACAGTACTGTATGTGCAAGTACAGATTTAACATGTAAAATCTGGCTGAGAAGAAACCAGGAATGCTGCTCAGAAACCATGAAGTTGAGGTTCTCCTTCTCAATAAGCCACCATACAGCCCTGACCTTGGCACACTCGATCATCTGTTTGAACTTCTGAAAGAAGCTTAGAGAAGTTATGAATATGCCAATAATGATAAGTAGAGACGGTTCTAGCATCTGAGGGGACCTGTGCTGCCGCACAGACCGCACATAGCTGGAGCCGGCCCTGATGATAAGGTGAAGGAGGCAGTGCATTTGTGGCTTTATGTGTAGCCCAAAAAAAAAAATTCTGATGCACTACAAAAATCTTGTGTACTGTACAGCTGGACCAAGTGTGTTAAAAACTGGGTGATTATGTGGCACAAATGAGACCTTTTCCCAACTTATATCATGTGTATAAAATAAAAATAAAACATAACTTATATTTCAACGTTTTCCTTTCTAAAGGCACAATATTGTACACTATGATAAATACAGTGATAGAGAAGTTATGGGAACCTCATGAATATAAAATATATTTACATTCCAGAAGTTTGAAAACACAGTACAGTACAGTAGTATGCTCAATATTATCTCACAAAACAGACACGGAGAAACACACAAGAGAAGGTAGACACGTTACCTTGTCCTATGTTAGCTGCAGCTTTCTCAACATAAGCTGGAGATCTCCAGTAGCCCATGGAGCCCGTGCCTTGAGGATCTGTCACAAGAACAATGGATCAGCCCACCAACTGACTTATCTCACTAACACTGTACAGTACAGTACTGCAGTTTACTTTTCTTTAACACTGTATAAACTATACTTGTGATTTTGCATTGACTGTGTTTGTAGTGTTATATCTACTATACTGTAAAGCTTTTTAAAATGTTATTTGTAAATTTTTTATTATCTCTTAATTATGGTAATCTGACATCAAATATTGGAAAATAAAATACTGATCTGTACTGTAGTCTATATTACTGGATGATGATTTTAATACAGGCAACCCCAGGGTTACGGAAATTCGCCCTAACGGAATTTTGAAATTATTACCGAAATATTCGGGATATGTCCAAAAAAATTTGCACCACCTCAGGCAGCACTCCAACATCGTTTCTGGTGAGTTAAATTGAAGTGTTGTTCATTTACTGTCATGTTACATCATGAATGAATCATTGTATCTGCTTAAAACTGTTTATTTTCACTCATGTATGTGCTTGTATTATTTTTTTGGCTGAAAAAATTTCACCTGGGAATCCATCCCAACTTATACTCGTACAATGGGAGTCGATGGGAAAATGGTTTAGCATTACGGAATGATTTCCAGGAACGGAACCCTTGTGTAACCTGGGGAATGCCTGTACTGTATTAAGTTGAGTTGAGTGTCACCTGTGTTGTGTTCCAACATTGTAAGAAGAACATTATAATGTGTTCTTTTAATGCTTATTACCAGCTTAGTACTGTATCATATAACAGTACAGTAGTACATTGTTGTAGTCAACGGAAAGATTTTTTATCAAATGTTATCTTTTGTTATTACTGTAGTTAACTTACAAAATGTTTGTTATTTATTGTTATCATTTGTTTTATACTAGAGTACACTGTATACAGTATAGTTAATACAATGGCAATATATACTTCACTTTAAGGCCACAGGTTTTTCAAATACTTCTCAATGCATTAAATATTTTCAACACTGTCCACAACCAAAACAAACTAACCTAACCTACAATATATGAAAGGAGCATTGAGGGGCTCTGCCCACCTCGACCCCTTATGAAGGTGGGGGATCAGCCCCCCCCACACCCCACTGCACATGTATCCTTTTGGGGTAAAATACTAAAACAAAAAAACGGTGACATTTACTAGAACCTGACCTAACCAACCAAAGAAACCGACCTAACCTTACCTAACTTCCTAGCCGGGGATTCCCCCCCCCCACCCAGGCCACCTGCCATATTAAAGAGAAAGTACTTTGATAACTGGCACCAATGAAAGCAACTTTGTTGAAGTATCATGGTGCAACTTTACGGTTTTTCTGGATGTGACAGTACACTCGGAGGGTCAGTTGTAAATAAACAGACGACACGCAATGACTAGGCAGATTTGTCGGAGGAATATTTATGGCAAATAATTCATTTCTTCACATACTTATGATCAGTTTTTCCACCGTGTTTTATCCTACAATTTCCCTCATCCTCCGTGCCCTGCCTAGTGCCCACTACAGGCGATTTATGATCGTAGAGAAAAAGTAAAAAAATTAATAATTGTAATTAAAATAAAAAATTGCCGCCTCTATTAAAATACTTACTATAATGCAGGTGGCGGATCCAGGAATATCGAAAGGAAGGAGGGCTGCGGGTACAAGAGGTTGTGGTGGGGCAACATGGCATACACAGTAAGCCCACCCAACTAGTGAGAGCCTATTCGTCTAAACATTTACCAAACAAACCAATTTCCATAAAAATAATTGTTATATTAGAACTCGCTGATAATAATATAGTAGGAATATAAACATTTTCTTTACACTGTACACTCTACATGAAGCAAAAAAACAAGTTTGGGTAAAATTATCGTTTCAGTCATCCAACTACAGTATTTGGAACCTAACCTAACATAATCGGTAAAACTCAGGGTATTATTGCGTTTACACACAGTTCATTCCTACCACTAATCTATAATCATATTCGAATAAGACATCTAATTATAAGATAATTTTCATCTATTACATTACCGGCGGAAATGTATAATAACGGAGATAGCTTTCCCAAAAAAAATTCTATTTTCTTCCATTAACCTCCCGCCATTATCGTCTGCCTCTCTCCCAACACTGCGTGTCTCTCGCGTCTCCTTCATAAACCATTACGTGCATGCGTACCCGTACACATCACGCAACCAATCAAAAACGTTTTTGCTTTTGGAACCAATTAAAATGATTTTGGGTTTAATTCAGAGTATATTTGGCCCAATCAAAATCGAGTTATATTTTGGGTCTCATATTTTGAAATTCAAGTTCAGTTCCGACCATGGAGGTCTGCGTTGGATGTCAGTTAAAGTATATGGAGCCGAATGCAAGTTTTTGGAGAAAAATAACGTAGAAACTATAGCATTTTTCAATCGCATGGTGTTCTTCCAACCTCAGTAAAGTGTAATAAGAGCAAGACGGAATGTAAATATCGCAAAGACCAACATATGTGGCGTTGTGTAAGAATCCCAGAATGCAACGACGAACAAGAACCAGGCCAATAAGGTAAGAAATAGGTGATTCCATCATATGGTGAGAGTCAAAGTTAGGTTAGGTTAGGTTTTTCTGTTTTTTGTTTTTTTTTAGTCACTTAGCTACTTCTTTTTTCTCGGAAAACGTCAAACGAAAAAAAAAATCGCTAAAAAAACAAAACGGCTAATTTCCGCCAAAAATGAAGGTCATACTCGGTCTCAACACACACAAATACACTAGAAAAATATATTTTTTACTTGCTAAAAGTGAACGGTGTGACAATGCAAATTTACCAAACTCAGTCACAGCACTGCTTCTCAAATGTAACTTAACTTAACTTAACTCAACTCAACTCAACTCAACCTAACCTAACCTAACCCACAACTCGCTGGACGACCAAAACGATAATGCCCAAATTTCTTCTTCAGATTTTTCGTTGAGTAGATCCATTCCAGGAGCCGTGACGTCTAAAGTATTACAGATGGTGATCAGTGAGTGCAGTTAACCAAGAAGATAAAGTTAAGTACAGTAAATATATTTTGTGATCATATAAACAGACGTTGAGAGACGCCATGACCCAACATATAACAATTATCTCGTTTATACGTTATCACACCGTTGCTTCGTCGCTCCTATTAATGGAACCAGTTTTATAATCCGCTCAAGATGGAAATAAACACATTAAAATACTCACAACCCGACATATTGGAGGTTTAGCCCGATAATAAAGTCCTTGGCACACAATGGACCTCCACGAGTAGGAGTCTAGTGTTACTATTAATGTTGGTAGATAGTCCACGAACGCATCCCAATAAATTTAAATTTTATTCTATATTTTCTTAAGAATATTAACCAAGCTTAATATATATCACCCTCAAAAAATTATTTAATCTCGTTTATTAGATGAGTTATTGTTATTTTATGTTAAATAAAGGTACAGTATATTATATATAATTTTGAAGGCATTTGTGGTACTTTTATAACATAAGTCAGCTTGCAGTTGTCTACTATAAACAAACTCGCGGGTGTAACACTTGGCAAAATTTAATGTTGTTTACTTTATTCACCATCCATTTTGATGGAATGCTGACCCATTAGATAATTTTCATGTAATTATATATAATTCATAGTTTGTGATTTACACACTTCTGTAAATACATTATAAATACATACAGTACAATATTTACTGTACATTGGTGTCATTTAGTTCTTTAATTAACACAAACCACCCCTATCCTCTCCAAATAGTTTTATCATATTTAAGCAATTTATGTAAGATGTAAGTGATATACACATTCATATAAACTGATATACTGTACACTCTTTACTTGGTATAATTAGTTTTCTAAAGAGGTATGACCAGTACCAAGGCCTAACTCCAGTAACTTGGCAATCCGACTAAGGTCACCCAATTAGGCCATTAGATCTGACTTCCAGTAAAAAAAAATTGCTTCGGATTAAATATTAATTATTAATATCAAATATAAAAAAAATGATGAACATAAACATTACTTTGCCCTTCCTAAACTACTGTATCCGCTGTAATAATCTAACGCTATGATCTATGAATACTAATAAACGTGATGTTGAGGCTTGACTTGAGAAGAAACAGGAATACACCAGATAAATATCTTAAGAACTTGGTGATGACGTGAAACAAACAACAGAACAGGGTACATTAAAACAGTTATGTAATGCATGCGTGGAGTGTGAGACTGTTGTGGGGTTAACGTGAGAAGGGAAACTCGGCTATGGCATTTCCTATATATATATATATATATATAATATATACAATGCAGTGCTAGGGAGTTGCTATGTGGTGAGGAGCTTGTTATGCGGAGGTCTTGTCTGTTTGAAAGCTCTGAGTAGAATCCCCTTCACGGCAAGGCTGTGGGCTTATATACACGTCCGTCGGAAGTGAATGTCGCTGCTAGCCGACCCCCGCCAGGCCAGACAGCGAGGCTTGGCAGAGGAACTCGCCGCGGGATAGGCTGATCAGCGACTAACGGCAGTGACAGTTGTAGGGGAGAGTATCCACTACACTGTGTAGATTTTTATTATAGTGATAAAACAGCTGCCAGTGAGTGTAGGTCCACACTCCTGATGGCTTGTTAGAACAGTGCAGATAAAGTACAGTACAGTACCGTACACACTGAGAGGCAGCATGGCCAGCACTGTACTTGATCACCTTCACTACCCATCTGTAAGGTTAGGTACTCACTTACAGCTGCGTGAATTGGGGGTGCCCTGGACATGAACCAGCACCTTTAGGATGGGAAGCGAGGTGAGTGCCGTATTCACAGGGCCACTACACCTTCTCACCCCTCTACCAGGGTGGAGAGAAATAAGGTAATACAGTATTTATGTGGCTAAGTTGGTGGCACTTTGGACTCCCAACCTCGAGTGATGGGTTCAATCCTGGTATAATATTGTGTTGTGGTGTACATCAGTCACTACAGTATGGTACAGTGTTTAATTGTAATATGGTGTACACACAGTTGGCCAACAGTCACCACAATATTGTACAGTACTATGGTGTACAGTTACACACAGTCACCACAATATTGTACAGAACTACTATTTTACTGTCACTCGGAATCGAGGATGACAATCATCCAGCCATGATACAATGATATGAGTTATTAGGGATGTCACCTAGGTTAGTGAGTTTTGAGGTGACAAAAGAATCCGATACGGGACCCGTAGCATTGCTCACATTCATTGCACATGTGGAGGGCTCCATCTACTGCGGGAGGGGCGGTTGCAGCGTCTCTCCGGCATTGGCGCTTATTTGCCTCGGTTTGCAGTTGGGCTAACTCGAAAGTATTGACACCTTCTCATGTGGTGCTCCTCCAAGCGTTACGGTGTGGAGTAATCGTCTCCCAGGTGAGGGAGTCGATTTGGCACTTTTTCAGGTTTGTCTTAAGACTATCCTTATACCTTTTCAGTTGCCCGCCGGCGTTATGTTCACTATTCGTTAGGTGACTGTAAAGTAGCTGCTTTGGCAGTCTACTGTCGTTCATGTGGGTAACATGGCCAGTCCAACGTAGTTGTTCATGGATAATGGTAGCCTCGATGCTCCTACAGTTGGTGTCAGCAAAAATACTGGCATTTGTTCTCATGTCTTCCCAGCGAGCTCGGAGGATGGAAAGTAGACTACGTTGGTGAAAGTTTTCAAGTGCCTTGAGGTGCTTCCTGTATGTGACCCATGTCTCACTGCCATATAGCAGGGTGGGTTGGACCACTGCTCGATATACATGCAACGTTGTAGATAATTTCAGCTCCCGACAGCTGAAGACACGATTTCGAAGTCTGCCAAAGGCTTGAGATGCACATCTGATCCGATGCTGAGTCTCTTCATTGATGTTTGCGGTGGTGGACAGGTGGGAGCCGAGATACCGAATGTGGGCAACATTAGAGAGGGTAGTACCGTTAAGCTGGATGGATGGTGGAGGTGTGGCTGAACCAGGGGCTGGCTGAAAGAGAATCTGAGTCTTACGTACATTCACTTCAAAGCCGAAGTGTGCATATGCGTCTGCGTAGGTGTTCAGGATCTTCTGTAGGTTGTGCACAGTGTGAGCAACAAGGGTGAGGTCGTCTGCATACTGAAGTTCAGTAATGGAAGCTGCTGACACCTTTGTTCTTGCCTGGAGTCGTCTTATGTTAAAAAGACCCTTCACCAGATACTCGATGTTCACCCCGTTGGCTAAATTGGCACTGGCACGAGTAAGGAAGGCAGCCAAGAAGATGGAAAAGAGAGTTGGTGCCAGTACAAACCCTTGTTTAACCCGTTTGGATGGGGAAGAGCTGTAACTGGGTGCCGTTGTGCAGGACACTGCCGTTCATGCCATCGTGGAGTTGCCTCATAATGGCGATGAATTTTGGTGGGCAGCCAAAACGGCTGACGGTCTACCAGAGGGCTTCCCTGTTGACCGAGTCTAAGGCCTTGGTTAGGTTGATGAAAGCCATGTACAGGTCATGACGCTGTTCTCTGTACTTTTCCTGTATCTGGCGGGCAGCAAAGATCATGTCAGTGGTGCCACATGATGGTCTAAAACCACATTGAGATTTTAGGAGGAAGTTTTCCGCCGCAGGACTTGGGTGATAATCTTGCCAGCTACGGACAGCAGCGAGATCCCACAGTAGTTGCCACAGTCTGACCGGTCTCCCTTGTTCTTATAAATATTGACAATGAAGGCATCTTTAAGAGCTTGGTGGATTTCCTCCTTTTCCCATATATTCTCCAGGAGAGAGTGGAGACGGCTGGTAAGCAGAGGTCCTCCTGCTGTGTACACCTCGGCTGGGATTCCATCAGACCCTGAGGATTTGTTATTTTTCATCTGTTTGATGGCAGTAGCTACCTCAGCCAGGGATGGAGGATAGCTGAGGTGGGTCAGCTCTGGATGCTGAGGGACCTGCTGGGTAGTCAGGACATCCACATCGGTGTTTCGGTTGAACAATGAATAGTAGTGCTCTTTCCAGCGCTGAAGGAGGCCTTCATCGTCTTTAATTATAAGGTTACCGTCAGATGAGCGGAGGGTGACTGCGCCACGAGTGACTGGCCCATAAAATGTTTTAGTGTACTATGGTGTACAGTGTACACAGTTGGCCAAGTCACCACAATATTGTACAGTACTATGGTGTACAGTTACACAGTTGGCCAAGTCACCACAATATTGTACAGTACTATGGTGTACAGTGTACACAGTTGGTCAAGTCACCACAATATTGTACAGTACTATGGTGTACAGTTACACAGTTGGCAAACAGTCACCACAATATTGTACAGTTACACAGTTGGCAAACAGTCACCACAATATTGTACAGTACTATGGTGTACAGTGTACACAGTTGGCCAACAGTCACCACAATATTGTGCAGTACTATGGTGTACAGTTACACAGTTGGCCAACAGTCACCACAATATTGTGCAGTACTATGGTGTACAGTTACACACAGTTGGCCAACAGTCACCACAATATTGTGCAGTATTATGGTGCACAGTTACACACAGTTGGCCAACAGTCACCACAATGCCATTGGCTGAACCAACATTCCTTGCCTGGTGGTACAGTATTGTGTGTTAACTCTTTATTTGTGAGTGACGACCATCCCCTTGTGAACTAAAGCCACAATACCAGGTACAAGTTGTGGCAACATGGAGAAAACCATCAAGAACTCTAAGCATTTATTAATTCTCACAAAAGTACACTACTGTACAGTACAGTATATCAAACCTACACTGTAGGAGGTACATAAAAACATATTTTGTACACACATTTCATAGTCATCAAGATGCTCATCAGCAGTTTTTAACAAAATCACCTTTTGAGAAACTAAAACACACACTACCCTGTACCATACTTTTATATTAACAAAAAAATACATAAATATCAAAATGAATATACAGTACAGTAATCTAAAAATAACAATTGTCTTATTATTATGTAACAATGAACTATTGTACAGTCAGAAATTATTCTTTAAAATGCAACAACATAATAAGTGCATCCAGTAAAGTTGTCAGATATCTAAATGGTCCGTCCCTCGTAATGCTATACTGTACAAGAGAGAGGTGCTCCCCCGTTTGGAGTACTGTATTGTCACCCTGTCTGGTCCCCGAGATATACTAGAGACTGTCAGTTGATTGAAAATGCCCAAACGAGGGCCACCAGACAGATGCCTGCATTATGGCACCTCTGTTACCCAAAGATTAGAATGCCTGCAACTGCCAAGCTTATACAGTACTATAGGCAGGCAAAGGGTAACAATTGAAGTTTATAAACATCTCAGAGGG